CTCTCTCTCTCTCTCTCTCTCTCTTCCCCCCTCCTCCCCTCGCTTCCACTCTTTTTGTGATCTGCGTGTACCCACCAGATGCTGCCACTTTTCCGCCATGAGTAGAAGCAGCCTGAGGCCCATGCCAGGTGCAACTGTCCCAGAATCGTAAGCCAAATAAACCTCTCTTCTTTATAAATCACCCAGTCTCAGGTATTTCTGTCATAGCAACACAAAATGGACTAAAACAGTAGTTTCCTCAGGGAGCAATGATGGTAATATTCTATTCTAGATGTATAGGTTCATAGGTGCTTATTTATTCTTTTTCAAAGGGTATAGAATGTTTATTACATTATTTCATATGGAGAATTTACTTTACTGTAAATTACTTTGAAGAAGTAGCATCAAAAATCAGCTACAAATGACATTTGGGAGACAATTGGGGAAACTTAAATATAAACTAGCTATTAGATGATGTATTAGTCCATTTCTGCTGCTTATAATAAAGTACCTGAAACTGGATGATATGTTTAAAAAAAAAATGAAACTTATTGCTTACAGTTTTGGAGTCTGGGAAGTCTCCAGGAAACACATTTGGTGAAGACCTTGGTGCCTCTCCCTCTCTCTCTCTCTCTTTCTCTCTCTCCTCTCTCTCTCTCTCTCTCTCTTCCCCCCTCCCCCCCTCGCTTCCACTCACCATGTGATCTGCGTGTACCCACCAGATGCTGCCACTTTTCCGCCATGAGTAGAAGCAGCCTGAGGCCCATGCCAGGTGCAACTGTCCCAGAATCGTAAGCCAAATAAACCTCTCTTCTTTATAAATCACCCAGTCTCAGGTATTTCTGTCATAGCAACACAAAATGGACTAAAACAGTAGTTTCCTCAGGGAGCAATGATGGTAATATTCTATTCTAGATGTATAGGTTCATAGGTGCTTATTTATTCTTTTTCAAAGGGTATAGAATGTTTATTACATTATTTCATATGGAGAATTTACTTTACTGTAAATTACTTTGAAGAAGTAGCATCAAAAATCAGCTACAAATGACATTTGGGAGACAATTGGGGAAACTTAAATATAAACTAGCTATTAGATGATGTATTAGTCCATTTCTGCTGCTTATAATAAAGTACCTGAAACTGGATGATATGTTTAAAAAAAAAATGAAACATTGCTTACAGTTTTGGAGTCTGGGAAGTCTCCAGGAAACACATTTGGTGAAGACCTTGGTGGTGGCAACAGTGACGGGAGGATATCACATTGTGAAAATGGCTGAGCAGAGAGATTAGCGACTAACCTCCTCATTCACTCTCTTTGTAAAACCCTCAGACCCATGCCCATGACCACCATTTTTAATCCATTCATTATGGCATGGTCCTACAATCTAATCATCTCTTCAAGCCCCCACCTTTCCTGGTCCTACAATCTAATCACCTCTTCAAGCCCCCACCTTTCAATTACCATAATAGGATTTTCCACCCTCCACAGTTACAGTGGGATTAAGTTTTGGGAGGACATTCAACCCAAGGAAGATGACATACCAGACTTATCAATTTTCTCAAGTATGATAAGGGTTTTGTGGTTATGCTGGAGAATGTCCTTATTCTTAGAATTTGCATGCTGACATATTTAGGAATAGGGGACATAATGACTGCAATTTAGTTTCAAATGTTTCAACAAATATAGATATAGATATCCCAGAATATTAATAATCGTTAAATATAATCTGTGTACCTGTACAGGTGTCATTGTTCTGTTCTTTCAACTTTTCTGTATATTTTTAAAGTCCATAATGAAAAGCTGGAAGAGAAAAATACCCAAGACACTCCAACATTCTGGCCTTTGCTCTTTAACTCCCCAGACTCCAGCCCTGATACACAAATGGTGTGGGCCCAAGGATACAGCTGACAAGATTGCAACCAATGATTCACCACCTAATAAGAGTTGGCTGTCTTCCTGGAGTGGAGGGATCCTCCCTGCCGCCACTCAAACTTAACTCAGCTCTTTCCACACTTTAGGATACAGAATGCCCCAATCCCAAATCTCTGTCTTTCTCAGGATTCCTGGTAGCAAATTCCAGAAATCCAACTCAGACTAGCATAGGCAGAAAGGTGCCTAAGCTGGTCCTTTCTTACCAGGACATCTGGACCAGACATCTGGAGCTCCTGGGCTTGCATTTTCATCTTTTCCGAAAGGAAGGACTTTCCTCTCTTTCATGCTAATTCAGAGAAAGGACTTCAAAAGCCTGGCCTCAAGGTGACACACACAAGCACCCATGTTCATGTCTCTACTTCCAAAAGAAATCCAAATCCAAGAATCTAGAGAATGGAGTCAAAATCCTGGAGGGAGGGGACATGAGGGAGTCCAAGGTGACAGATAGAGATGCTGGGTGGTTTGGGTTTTTTTGTGTTTTGGGGGGGTGGGGTGGGGTGGGGAGGGAATTCCATGAAAGAGGTACAATTATTACACCTATTTTATGAATGAAGAAACCGAGGCTTAGAAAGGTGAAGCCACTTGCAAAGTTCCACATTTGGTGACAGGTCCAAGATCTGCTTTCCTCCGTGCCAGATAAGATTGGCAGAGTTAGGAGCAGACAGTGCTAGAAAAAAATGAATGTACGTGAAACCAGGACATTTTGAGCACTGCTATTCAGATTCTCCCCTCACATGAGAAGAGAATGGGGGACAAGTCCAGGGCAGCACAGTAGAGTGAAGATCTTGGTCTGGGGTGAGGCACATGTGAAGAGGGCTTAGCAGAGAACACCGTGGAGTTGAATTAAGAAGTCTGGCTCTGCCACTGCCAGGCTGTGGACCTTGAGTGATTTCTTTCCCTTTCTGTGCTACTTTTCCTTCTTCCATAAGATAGTTTAGTCCTGATGGTGCCTAATAGTCAATCAGGTCTTCTCCTGAAGGCGATGAAAGAAGATCAGCTCCTAGATGTTTGTTTAAGGAGACCATGGGGACAGCCCCAAGTTCCTCCCCAGAAACTGTGAACATTTCCCGACAGATCTCAGGAAGCGCAGCCCTCCCCAGCCTTGGATGAACCTTCAGCCCCGCCACTGGCCCACCCAGCAGGGACACTCTAAAGCCAAGCTGGGCCTCAGTTCCCTGCTGAGCACCTTTCTGGCAACATAAGGTCTGGCAACTTCTTGGTCCTTAACAGTTTTCCTCATTTTTTGTGGCCAAGCGGCTGGGGAAGGAGTCGCAGGGGGCTAGAGTGGATAATGGTGGACCTGGGTGGGGCTGGGCTGGGGAGAGGCCCCGAGGGATGCGCTGGGCTGTGGGCAGAGCTGGAGTACTCTCGCACCCCATGGCCTCCTCCACCGGGTGAAGAGAAGGTGGAAATTTGCCTAGCCGACTGCATAGGCCACATCAAGTCCAATCTGCCCCAGTGTCACACAGACAAAGGACTGTTTGGGGCAAAAGAAATGTTTTTACCTGAACTGTGGCTTCAGGTATGTGATTCCTGTGAATAAACTAAATGGAGGTAAGGAGCCTCTGTTCCCCAGGCGTGGTGCTCTGGCTTCCCCAGCCTCTATCTGCCCCATGAAAGCACAAGGGAATCAGTCTTTCACCGAGGAGTAGGGAGAGTGGTTACAGCTGACAGGGCCCTCAGAGACCAGCTGGTCTGTACAGCTCCATTGTACAAAGGAGAAAAGGAGGGTGAAGATGCGTCAAGGTCATCCCCAAAGCCAGTATGGGAGCTCGGGCCTCTGTGCCCATCCCCTTCCACCAAGTGTCCTCAGAGATGATGCTGTGTCTTTTCTACCTCTGGGAGTCACTCTAACCTGGCACCTGTCCCTGAGAGTCCTGAAACTCGGAATGTGGAAGAAGAAATGGGCAACCCGAAGGAAATCTGTCCTGATGTTCTTTTCCCCAAAGACAGGGAAGAGTCTCAAAGAGCCCAAATCCCAAGGGCTGGCTTTTCCTTCTCTGCCCAGTATGCCTCCCCTACCCTCATGAATGGAGCACCCATGAATGGGGTCAGTGCACTTATAAAAGAGACCCCAGGGAGCTGCCTTGTCCTTTGGCCATGTGAGGACACAGCTAGAAGGTGCTGTCGGAGACCAGAAACAGGCCGTCAAAGGATGCTGAATATGCTGCCGCCTTTATCTTGGACTTCCCAGCGTCCAGAGCTGTGAGAATTAAATGCTTGTTGCTTATAAGCTATCCAGCCTATGGCAATTTGTTATAGCAGTCCAAACCAAATAAGACAATGTAATAATAATTTTAAAAAATCCAATTCAACATTATCAAACTATACAAAATATAAAATGCCTACAAATAAACGTATCTAGAAAATGTACAGAAATTTTCTGGGAAAAAAAGCCTATAATATGTTACTAAATGACATTTAAAAAGATCTGGATAAATAAACTGAAATTTTCCACAATAAAAAAGGTTTTTAAACAATATGCTATTCCCAAAACAGGAAGCCTCCACAAGGTAAAGATGTCCATCTTCACCAGCATAATTTGTACCTGAAATATAGTTAAAATCAAAGCCTGTAGTATTTTGTAAACCCTAATTCAATAATGTATTCAGGCAACGATCACACCTTCTGAATATTTACAGGTCACCATAGCGTCAGCCCCTGGTGTATTTATGTATGCTGTTTGTAAGTGGGAAAACACAAGTTTACAATGGAAGGACACACTACCTAAATCACATCAATCTGTCTTCACAACACTAAAAATGGGTCCTTTGGAGGCGAGGCGACACAATGCACACACCATTACCTGTGAAGGGTTCTTGCCAGGACGCTGAGCTTGAACCTCAACAAGCCTCTAGAGCTAATGTTTGTCTATGAGAAATACAAAGGACAGAGAGGTTGAAAGATATCACAGGGGAGCAATGCGGGACATTCTAAAGAACAGTCTGTTCTGTGCAACAAGTAAATAGCATGAAGGAGGAGGAGAGGGAAGGAGGAGAGGGAAGGAGGAGGTAAAGGAGTTGCAGGGATTGTTCTAGAATGAAACAAACTTCAGACACTTGCAACCAATGCAACATGTGCACCTTGTTGGAATTCTGATTCAAACAACTGTACAAAGTCATTTTGAGACAATAAGAAAAATAGGATACAAATAGACTGTTAAATGATGTTAATAAGTTACTATAAATTTTGATAGGTGTGACGATGGTATTGTGATTATGTGAGAATGTCCGTATTTCTTAGAGATGCATACTGAAGGACTTAAGGGTAAGATATAATATGTATTGGATTTACTTTTTTACTTCAGCCAAAAGTGTGATGGGAATATACATGACAGACATTTTGTAAATGTTTATTGTTAAATCTGGATGATGGGTACATTGGGCTTCATAAAAGTACTTGCTGTTCTTTTTTGTATTTTTGAAATTTTTTATGATAAAATTTTTATGATAAAAAACAGTGGATTTATTCTTAGAATTTAACAAAATGATCATTAAGTTCATATGGAAGAATGAATTCTTGTGACATAGAAAATTTTAAATGTAGATTAATGAAGGATAATAGATACCACCAGTCACTAAAACACGTCTGGAAGCTACATCAACTACAACAGCGGTACAGGCACAGGAATAAACAGTCAAAGGAAAAGAACAGGAAACCTAGAAACAGCTCCTGTTACACATAAGACTTGAGTTTTTGATAAAGTTTTAATTTCCAATTAATGGCAAAGTTTGAATTGTTCACTAAATGATAATGGGACAATTGATTAAAAACTTAGGAAAAAAAGTCATTTCCTATCTCACACCCTATGCCAAGATAAATTTCAGATGAATGAAAGAATTAACATGTTTTTCAAAAATCACCAAAAGATTTACTATAAGTAAATACAGTAAATATTTATCTGGCATCACAGTCAAAAGGCTTTTTTTAGGGCTGGCCCGTGGCTCACTCGGGAGACTGTGGTGCTGACAACACCAAGGCCACAGGTTAGGATCCCTATATAGGGATGGCCGGTTAGCTCACTTGGGAGAGTGTGGTGCTGACAACACCAACTCCAGGGTTAAGATCCCCTTACCAGTCATGTCTAAAAAAAAAAGACAACAACAACAACAACAACAACAAAAACTGGCTTTTTTCAGCATAAAAATGAAGGGAGAAAATATAAATGAAAAAACTAAATTTCAGGGTTAAGATCCCCTTACCAGTCATGTCTAAAAAAAAAAGACAACAACAACAACAAAAAAAAACTGGCTTTTTTCAGCATAAAAATGAAGGGAGAAAATATAAATGAAAAAACTAAATTTTGGACTGTTCTCTTTAGAGCACTGCCTTCCCTATTCAGGACTCAAATGGATGTTGGGGTGGGGGAAGAGTCCTGTGCCTCTAACCTGGGTCAAGTGCACTCATCTGTGGTAGGAGAAGTACCTGGTGATTGGCAGGCAACCAGAATTACAGGAGTTGAAGGCTCCACCAAAGTAAGAGATGCTGGGCAAACAAAAACCAACAGATCAAAAAACAAAAAAAAGTCAGTGTGGAGCAGTTGGAAACTCTCATACACTCTCTCACTTCCTTTCTGAAATGCAGTTTAACCAGATATATCCAAAGCCTGGAAAAGCGATCATGCCCTTTGACTTACCATTTCTACTTTGACAAATTTACTCTTAGAAAACAGAGTTTGGGGAAAATATGACCTTAAAGTGTATGCACAAAGATTATCGCAGCTTTATTTATGAAAGTGAAAAATTGAAGACCTAGGGCCGGCCCAGTGGCGCACTGCTACAGTGTGCCGCTTGGGAGCGCGGTGGCGCTCCCGCATGATATTTAGAGAACATTTCATAGCCCAGGAAAATGCAGAATAATCTTAATTGGAAAAACATTTCTTCAATGAATATATGTAATTTGTCAGGAAATAAAAACCAGCCCATTAAATGTTTCCTCCAAAATAAAGCTGCTAAGCAGGTGTCAGTATTCCAGAAGCAACATCAGATCATAGAAGACAGGATGCCTCTTTTCCCGAGAGCTTAGAAGACAGCATGAGGGATTCAAGTTAAACCTAAGGAAGAACTTCCTGACTATAAGGGCTGTCCTGGACTGGAATCAGTGAGTGAGACAAGCCCTGGAATGTCACCTTCTTTTCTCAAGGTCAGATGAAATATTGTCCAGCTTTCGAGGCCCAGGAACTGAATGGGGATGATGGAGAGGCAATGGCAGAAGTCCCATCTTAGTCAGGAATTAGCTGTGTGTCCTTGAGCCAGTCCCCTCCCATCTCTGCTCACAGTTTCCTCATCTTTCGAATGGAAGGGCTGGGAGGAGGGACTTGCTCCTCCAGTGCTGATGGAGTACTATGTTTCTCTTTGGAGCCCCTTAGGACGCCAAGCCTCAGCCACCTCTCTTCCACCAGGTGCCATGGAGCCAACATCACAGATGTGAAATCTAGCACGGTGGCCCTGGATGAGATAATATTTTTGCTCAAGATCTCTCGGGGCAAGGGAAGGGGTCCCAGTGGCCTCCTACATCTGCTGTGGCCAGCGAACTAACTCACACCAGAAGCCATGCACTATCCACCCCGACAGCTAAGCGAGCCCCAGGCAGAGGGCAGTTCTTCCAGACACCAGTGCAGGTGACCTCACCAGAGGCAGGACTGTCTCTGTCCCACCTATCCACAGAGGCTCACGAGGAGAGGCCGGGGCTGGCCTCACTCACTATGCCAGCCGGGACCAGTCTTCTCTGGCAGGGAGCTCTGACTCTAAACCCAATGCTGTCTCCCTTCCTAGAACTCTACCAACCCCTCTTGCCATTCAGAGCTGACTTCTATCCCCTGCCTAAGACATTGCTGGGGCTTTAAGATCTTAGCCAGGAAAGCAAGTATCTGACTCAACAACATTCACCCTGTATACAGATGAGAAAAACCAAGGCCCAAAGAGGAACAAGGGTTGCCTAGGATCACAGCCCAAGTCAGCAATACAGGCAGGACTGGATCCAAGGTGCCAACATGCAGGACCTGCCGACGCCCTGTCTTCAGTTCTTGCACAAGTGCCCCTTGCACTCAGGCCCCAGGGCAGGGTGGGACCTAGAGGAGGCAGACGGTGCCATTCCATCCACTCCCTCTCCTTGCTCCCTTGATTCAGATGCTCTGGCCTCCCTGGGGCTGCAGGTATTAATTTGGGGGCCCCTGGGCCCTGACCTTATTAGATTCCAGTGGCAGAAATATGAGAGTCTGGATCCTCCTCCTCGGGGCCCTCCTAGCTTTGGCGAGCCAGCTGCCTGCTGCCTTGGGCCGGAAGAAGGGAGGTGAGTGTGAGTAGATCCCTCTGCTGCAGGGACCAGGTGGTTTTTACCTCTCCGGAGAGAGTGTGGATGTGGGGGAAGCAGGTAATACTCTGTGTGTGTGTGTGTGTGTGTGTGTGTGTGTGTGTGTGTGTGTGTGTGTGTGTATGCCTGCTTCTTAGTGCTTCCAGGAGCGTGCATTTTTGGTTGTGCATCTTTGTACCTGTCCACCTGCCAGCATCTATGTCTGTAAATGTCTTTCTGCCAGTTTCTCAGTGCTTGTCCGTGCCTGTGTGTGGGTGTGTGTGCCTGTCTCTCTCTATATGCATGTCTCTGTGCCTGTTTGTCTGTGTAAATCTCTGTCTGCCACACATACGCTTAGGAATGGCTACATACATGCATGTCTGAGCTCATGTGCCCATACATGTGTGTACATGTGTGTCTCTGGTATGGCTCTGGGTATGGCGGAGGGAACTTGTCCATGTCTGCCATTTGGTGGTGTGACTGGATCTCTGGATCCATATGACCACGAGGATGAGCCTTCTCTGGCCCCCTCCAGACCTTAGCCCAATCTGTGGAAAGGACTTGGGAGTTGAGCAGGGGATGTGGCTTCTGGGATCTGGTATCTGTCGGGAGGAAATTCTGTCCCTATCTCTCTTCTCTCCCCCACCTCCTACTGTCCCCATTCCCACTCCTGACAAGGCTGGGCTTGTTGACAGGTGAAGGAGGGTTGTTGGATTGGCCAGACAGGTACTTCCTGACATGGGTGAGGCTTCCACCTCCTTCCCCTTCTGGGACTAGAACTCGCTGACCTACATTCACCTGCGCAGCCCTGGCCCTGCCTTGCAGGAAGGGGACAGTAATGTGGACAGGTCCCCCTCCTCCATAGGCCGAGGAAGGAAGGATGCTAGTAAGTTTCAAGGCCAGACCCTGTGTTGGCTGTGATTCATGCACCATCGCCACATAACTCCTCACTGCAATGCAGTGAGGTCAGGACTATTTTTATCCCCATTTTGCAGATAAGGAAAATGGAGGCATAATGGGAAACCACTTTCCCAGTGCCAAAGACCAACTCTGAGTTAGTGTCAAAGGTGGCATTTGAGTGTAGGTCTTTGAAATCAGAAAGACTCACCTCCCAACTTACTCCTTGTAAAATGGAGTCTCATGCCTCTCTCTCAGGAGTAAATTATGTCTTGAGGAATAAGAGCCTGGCATACAGTAAATGCAGCATGTGAGTGATTTGGGGAGCTACTGGAGGTACTAAGAGGACACACCCCAATACTCAGTCCAGCAGCTCCAAAGCAAAAACTAGCACTAGCTAGCAGAACCTGAGCCAGGTGACAAGCTTGTCTCTGCCCCAGCCCCAGTTCACTGCATCCTGTCCTTCCCTGATTTCTCCTCCATGAGATGTCTCTGTCTGGCTCTCAGTAGAATTTCAGACAATGGAAGAAGGTGACAAGGTCGAGGTAAGGGAAGTCTCAGTTTGCTGCCTGTGGAAGTCCAGCCATCTCTGTTTATGACACCCCTGGCCCCCACTGAAATGCCTGGGTGTCTCTGATAAAAGGAGCCTGGAATACAGCTCTTTACAAACAGGAAGTTCCTAATTAAATGTTTTCAGTGGTTATATGGCATTGGGAATATATCTGTGTCTGTGTAGCTCTGTGCATATATCTCTTTGTTCACACACACATGCTATATATCTATATACATGACTTAGTATGTCTGAGTATATGTGTAATTACGTGCGTATGTATCTATGTGTGTAGGCATGTATATACGATAGTATGCTTGTATATTTGACTATATGTATATGTCTCAGTTTATGTGTACACATGACTGCCAGTGCTTATATATACATACACATATATTTAAGTATGTATGGACATTTATAAATGTATGTGTGTGTATGAATTAGGTTGAACCACATAAAATTGCTATTTTTGTAGATCAAAAAAAGTTGACTCTCAGCAATTTCATATGGTTAAGCCTATAGCTAATTGAGTGTGTAGATCTAAGTGCACTTGTATATTTGACTGTATGTGGATCTACGTCTGTGTGTATAAATATATATATTTAGCCATGTCTGTGTATGATTCTTTCTGAGTCTACACATCCGTGGTGCACGCATCTGGATGACCATCTGTGTGTGCATGACTGTGTCTCTATGCATGTGTCTGTGAGTGGGAACCTGGACTTGGAGGGAAGTTTAGGAAAGGCAGGCGGACAGAGTGAGTGTGACCACCCAGACCTCTCATACTGTATCTGCACATTCTAGGCTTTTATTCCCAACTGCACACTGTGCCAGTCACGGTTCTCTCCACTTGAAATGCCAACTCTCACTCCTATTCGCTATCTGTCTTTTCCTGGAGGCTCAGCCCTGGCCCCTCCCACAGAAGCTCTCCCTGCCTCTGCCACCTGACCCACCTGCTCCACTCCAGCCCACCAGGAGCTCCTGCTTCCATGCTTTGAGTTCAGGCAGCTCTATTTGGTTCTCTCTTTCAGGCCTAAGCAGCTCTGGCTTTGGCGTGTGAGTTCAGGGCTAAATCCCGGACTCAGACAGTCTCCCAGGGCCCCACATACCACCTACCAAGCCCCACAACTCCCCTGTAGAGGCTAATCAGAGTAGATTTTCCCTCACAGGCTCAGCCCCTCTTTGTCCAGCAGGGGGCAGCAACTCAATTTAAACCAATCCAATCTTACAACTTAAGTTGACTTTGAGCACTTACCGAATAAGCAAGGTGCCTATTATGTGTGCAGCCAGCATCTGGGGAAGGGGGCTTTGGGTGAACACAGAGGTAAAGTCGCAGCACTGGATCCAGCTGCCACTTACCGAATAAGCAAGGTGCCTATTATGTGTGCAGCCAGCGTCTGGGGAAGGGGGCTTTGGGTGAACACAGAGGTAAAGTCGCAGCACTGGATCCAGCTGCCACCGGGGACTCCTGGACCTTTTCTCTGATGCCAGATTGAATTAAAGCCCTGGGACCAGCCACATCCCTATGGCTCTAAGGCCACCGGAGTAGAGAGTTGGAAGGTCAGAGTTTGGCCTGGGAGTCCTAGCCCAGACCTGTGTGGGTCTAGGCAAGTATTGCCCCTTTCAGGCCTTGGTTTCTTCCTCTAAATAGAGGAACATACTGCTTTCCAGCCTTCTGTGTGAAATCTGGAAATGGCAAAATCCAAACAAGAGAAGTGGTTAGGTAAGCTCCAGGACAAACCATTCTGTAGCTGTTCAGAGGAGATGGAGTTAATACCCGAATACGAATCTGTGCCAGTTGCAACAATGACAAGCACAACAATGCAGATGGGGTCGACTATGTCTGTGTGACAACACACCAGGCTGGCAACAACTGACACGCATGCAACGCTGGCTCTCACTTCAAAATCCTTTCTTTCAAATAGTAGTCCCTGAGCCTCCAGGGTTGTGCACCAAGTGCCATGATACGGACTAACAGTGAGCAAGGCAGGCGGATGTGTATCCGCGTAGCATCCAGCCAAGCGAGAGATGCACAAACAGGCACAGAGTCACCAGTTCTGAAGGAAAGGCTCTTTGGGAGTATATGGGGCTGGGGTGGAGGCTGACCTAGTTAATGTGGGGTCAGAGCAGTAGGGTCTTCTGAGGATGTGCTGTTTCAATTGAGACCTAATGGGCTGACCAGGTGAATGGAGTGCAGGAGAGAGCACCAGGCAAAGGGCATAGCCAAAGCAAGAGCCCTGCAAAGAAGGGGCTTAGAGCAGATCAGGAGCCACCAAGTGGAAGGAGGGTAAGGCCACCGGAGTAGAGAGTTGGAAGGTCAGAGTTTGGCCTGGGAGTCCTAGCCCAGACCTGTGTGGGTCTAGGCAAGTATTGCCCCTTTCAGGCCTTGGTTTCTTCCTCTAAATAGAGGAACATACTGCTTTCCAGCCTTCTGTGTGAAATCTGGAAATGGCAAAATCCAAACAAGAGAAGTGGTTAGGTAAGCTCCAGGACAAACCATTCTGTAGCTGTTCAGAGGAGATGGAGTTAATACCTGAATACGAATCTGTGCCAGTTGCAACAATGACAAGCACAACAATGCAGATGGGGCCGACTATGTCTGTGTGACAACACACCAGGCTGGCAACAACTGACACGCATGCAACGCTGGCTCTCACTTCAAAATCCTTTCTTTCAAATAGTAGTCCCTGAGCCTCCAGGGTTGTGCACCAAGTGCCATGATACGGACTAACAGTGAGCAAGGCAGGCGGATGTGTATCCGCGTAGCATCCAGCCAAGCGAGAGATGCACAAACAGGCACAGAGTCACCAGTTCTGAAGGAAAGGCTCTTTGGGAGTATATGGGGCTGGGGTGGAGGCTGACCTAGTTAATGTGGGGTCAGAGCAGTAGGGTCTTCTGAGGATGTGCTGTTTCAATTGAGACCTAATGGGCTGACCAGGTGAATGGAGTGCAGGAGAGAGCACCAGGCAAAGGGCATAGCCAAAGCAAGAGCCCTGCAAAGAAGGGGCTTAGAGCAGATCAGGAGCCACCAAGTGGAAGGAGGGACAGAAGATGAGGCCAGAAAGATGGACAGGGGCCAGAACAGGCTTTATTGGCCACAGTGGAGATTTTGAACCTCATTTTTTCCTATCCTGTTATGCCATCTGAGTCTCAAGCCTGCTCTAGAAAGAGGGAGTCCAGCCTCCCATTTCTCAGACAGAAAACTGGGGCTTGGAATTGTAAAAGAAAGAAGGAAAGAAAAGCTTACAAAAGGACAGGCAAGAAGTAAGGGATGGAGAATTCAGATCTGTGATTCCCAGGTCAGCACTTGCTACATAACCCTGAGCTGCCTCCAGCTACAAGATTTGGGGGGGGTCTCTTACAGAGAAATCAGGGGGCTGCCCGCCAGATGATGGGCCCTGCCTCCTCTCAGTTCCCGACCAGTGCCTGGAAGACAGACAGTGTCCCTCAACCATGAAGTGCTGCCACCGAGCTTGCTTTCGCCAGTGCATCCCCAGGGTCTCAGGTAAGTGCTCCCCACCACCTAGTTGACTACCAAAGCCCCAAGTCCCAAGCCTCAGGGCTGACATGCATGGGCAGGGCTCATCCAGACCCCTGTGTTGCAGTAAAGCTGGGCAGCTGCCCCAAGGACCTACTTCAATGCCTCAGCCCCATGAATCACCTGTGTCACAAGGACTCAGACTGCTCAGGCCAGAAGCGGTGCTGTCACGGCGCCTGCGGTCGAGACTGCCGAGATCCTGCCAGAGGTATGGCTCCTGGGTACATCTAGCAGGTGCCTTTCCTCCCTAAGCCCCAGCTCCAAGATTTCCTTCCAGTTCTACAAGCTTAATAGAATACCTCCCCAGAAACCAGGGCCTCCCATGGCCAGAACTGGGGATGAGGGCAGGGGTTGGAGGGGTCCTTTTGGATGGCGGAGGAACTGGTGATCCTTGATTCTCTTACGGAACTTGCCATGTCACCTGGACCACACTCCTAAACTGCTGTGGGCTTCAGTTTGACCTTTTGAAGGAGTCTGGAGAGTCCTGTCTTAGTAGCGACCAGGGCTGGCCTGTTAAGGGCCTGGAACCCAGACCCTATTGTGGGAGGGAATTAACCTTTTCTTTCTCTCTCCTCAGACTAACTCTGGTTCAGGATCCATGGCTCTGCGCCTCCTCCAAGCAGGAAGAGTTGACAGTGGGGATCCCAGGACCCTGCCACCCAGACAGTACTATTGCTGCCAGCTGCAGTTCCAACCTTCTGATGAACACTTGAACACTGATTTGCTGTCACTTCCCTGCAACCCATCCACCCCTGCTTTCTCCTCCTGGGAGTCATGGTCCACGGCCTGACCTCAGAGGAACTCCTGTTTGTCACCCCAGTGCCCTGTACCACTGCCACACTGCGCTTCCCACCCTTCCTAACACCCACATTCACGTCTCTCCTGTCCATGCTGTTTCCTCTGCCTCAACTGCCTAATTCAGGCAGGCCTCTCTTTATGGCACCCTAACCCGCCCTCTGGTGGCCCAGCCCCCAGCAGGTGTGTTCTAGCACAGTCCTCCAAACATCAGTCCCTCACATACCCTTTCACGATTTTCACCATACCTGCAAGATAGCACCGCGATATGTTTCATGTGGTCTGCACTACTGTTGACTTAATGTTCTCTGTAAATGACTCACTTTTGTATATAAATAAATTTATTTCAAAAGAAAACGATATCACTATTACAAGTGGGATAAGCAAGATCACTTGCCACAAATAGAATGTAATAGTGAAAACAAATGCAATGAGAACAGCTCAGTTCCATTAAAGTAAATCGTGGCAGATTAAATGATATTAAATAATGTTATTAAGTTCTAGCTAGATACGGCCTCCTGCCAAGACTGAGCCTGAAGTCTACTCTCTGTCTCTGTTTTACTTAATGGAGACTAATAAGGGTTAAAGAGATGTTAAAGACACAGATCTCTAAACTGAGACTATCCCCCTGGTGGAATCAGAAGGATTGAAAAGAGAATAACTTCCTCACCGCAAGAGTTGATGTTATATATAATGTTGCATCCAGGTACACCCTAAGATCATTTCAAATTGCCCCACATTTGAGGAAGTGTTGCTTGAGCAACACTGGATGTCATTATTGGGGTGGGTCTGTCTCCGCCGTTGGACTTTACCTCCCTCACCTCAATTTCTCCAGGGCATTGTAGTCAGGGCCTAATGAGTGTTTCTTGGGAGAAGAAGAGATCAATGAGGGAATGACAGTCATCCCAAGGGACATTCCTGGACCCAGATGGCTGGATTCCTGACTCTTCTTTCTACTCAGGACTTGCTCTGGGAAGGGTAAGGAGGCCAGCAAACTCCTCCCTACTTTCTCTGCTGGGCCCCCTCTTGCATCCTGATAGACGCAGGGGGTGGGTGACCAACTGTGGAAGTAAACTTGGGAATCGTCAGTCTTCTCTCCCTGTTCTTTTGACCTTGCAGTGCAATCACAGGTGAGTCCTTCACCACTCTGGTCTCCTGTTTGCCCTGATGGAAGATGGAAAGAATTCTAATTCCTGCTTCCTCACCACCGTAGTCCCCACGGGATTCAAATGCCTGAACTGTTGACTCAAGAGTAGCAAATGCTAATTACATGGCTACAAGGTGAGGTCTGGGAGAGGAGGAAGAGAACTATCTGGGAGTCACTGACTCCATGTGGCCTTGGATATTTCCACCGTAGTCCCCACGGGATTCAAATGCCTGAACTGTTGACTCAAGAGTAGCAAATGCTAATTACATGGCTACAAGGTGAGATCTGGGAGAGGAGGAAGAGAACTATCTGGGAGTCACTGACTCCATGTGGCCTTGGATATTTCTCTGCTTCTTTCTGAGCCTCAGTTTCCCCATCTATAACCTCAGGTAGTTAACACAGATAATACTGCAGATTTCATTTTTTGTCTACAGTTGTCTCTTCCCTCCCCACACTTACCAGTCTTCCCTGGAGGAGGGGGTACAGCCCTGCCCCAGTGATTTGGGGCTTGGCTATGAGACTTATTTTGGCTATTGGGATGTGGGTGGAAGTGACAGGGTGCTAGTTTCGAGGTAAGGCATCAGCTTTCTTTGAGCTTCCACCCTCTGCCATGAGATGAGCATGCCCAGAAGCCACTGATCTCAGCCTGAGAGACACCTGAGGCTGGCCTGAAACTGAACTTCCCAGCCATGCCTCAAATTTGCAAGAGAGAAATGAATGTTTGTGTTGGTGATGCCATGGAGATTTAGGGTCTATTTGTCACAGATCTATTGTAATAAGAGCTTGACTAATTCAGATACGATTACTAATCTGTATGCCTCACACTTTAAAACATCATTTTATTCATCCATCCCATAACCCTGAGAAAGGTGAACATTGTTATTCCCGTTTGCCAATAAAGAAATAGCAACATTGAGATAAGTGACTTGCCTGAGATCCCCAGCTGAAAGGTGATATAGCCAGGATTAAACCATATCATATTCCTCCTTAGATGTTAATAAAGCCAGCAGCAGCTGACAATTACAGAGCACTTACCCTGTGCCCGGTGTCATTTAAATTGCTTTACATGTATAATCTCATCTAATCCTCACAGCCTTGTTAGGTAGGCTTTATGATTTTTCTCCACTTCACATACAAGGAACTGAGGCACAAAGATGTTAATCTGGCCAAGGTTTTATAGTTTATAAGTAGTACGGCTGAGATTCAACCCCAAGCAGTCTGGTCTCACACTTTACATCCTTATTGACTGCATTAATTACATCAGTTTCTACATCTGAAAAGTGGAGATCACAAAGACCCCAGAAGGTTAAGTGACAAGGCTCAATTCTAAACAGCTATGCACTGATAGGAGCCCAAACCTATTGGTGCACAGTTTATTGCCCTGGGTTTCTTTCCTGAAAAGAATCAGGAGGAAAATCCAGGGACCCTAGCAGGAAGCTCCCAGGTGAGCAGTTAAGACTTGGCTGTCCTGGGGCTCTGAGTTCTGAGGTCTCTGGAATGGCAGGAGGTGATGGGTCATAGACTGTGGGTTCTTTGTCCACCATTCTAGAGTCACCCACTCAGCTTCCTGGATAACTCACTGCCTGTTCCATTAGGTCTGTGTGTTGGTCTATGCAGTGCCAGCTCCATCCTCAGCTACCAAACTCCAGCCCATTGAGCTCCATCTCCACTGCCCTTCTGGAAAGTCTCCTGTGATAAATATTTGCTGAGCACTTATTATAGGCTTTAGGCCGTGCCTTCACACAGGTCATGCCCAAGTGGATGAGACAAAGCCTTAGTTAGAGAGTTGCATGTTATACACCAGACAGGAGAAACCCAGAAGGCTATTGGAGGGCAGGAGGGACATAACTCACCCTAGAAACCAGAGAAGTCTTCCAGAAGGAGGTGATACACAAACCAAGGCCTTGAGTTTTGGTAGGAGTTAGCCGAGTAGGACACTGCTAGTCATCCCTTCTCTTCTTCTTCCTTACCAACAGCAGTGTCACCAGTTAAAAATATTTGTCCAAACCCCCCACCCCACCCCCCAAGCAACTGGAGTACTGGTGACATTCTATATTTTGACCTGGGTGGCAGTTACATGAATGCATAGATTTGTAAAACATTCATTCAGCTGTAATGTAATACTTGTGTACTTTAGCATAAAAACATTGTACTTCAACTTTAAAAAGTAAATTAAAATTTTAAAAATTTATTTCCTCCCCAAGCTCCCTTGCAGCTAGGGTGGCCCTTTGACCCAGGACTGGCCAATAAGAAGTAAGGGAAAGTCTACTGGGAGGGGCTTCCTGGAAAGCTACTGTTTTCCTAACTAGTGAGACTCAGCATTTTGCCCATCATCCGTTTACCCTGTGTCCCTCCTGGGACATGACATGGCTGCTGCAGCTAGAAGAGCCATCTGGCAACCTTGAGGATTGTCTTAGTTGAGTTCCCCCAAAGCAAATCTTGAGCTGAAGATTCATATGATGGTAATTATCTGGAAACATATGCAGGAAAAATGGGTATGAGAGTAGAGAAGTGCACCAGGGAGAGAAGAGTCCAGTAATGGTGTGACAGCAAGTGAAGTCCCACAGGGCACTTCTAGAGACAAGCTCAGGTAGGACACAAAAATTCCCAGGCACTTCAGGTTCTCCATGTGTGTAGCCATCACAAGCTCTGGCAGCCTTAGGGAAGCCTTTGACAAGGAGATGCAGACATAAGCCGCTGGGAGGGAAAATATACCTGGAGCCAGTATGCATAAAAGTGGTGAAGGATCCCCGAGGGACTATGGGCAGAACACTAGCACCATCTGCTACAAGGATTGGGGCCACACAGGAATGGTGGAGGAGAAAGCGACAAAAAGCCTGGGTCTTTAATGCCATTTATCGAGGGACTATGGGCAGAACACTAGCACCATCTGCTACAAGGATTAGGGCCACACAGGAATGGTGGAGGAGAAAGCGACAAAAAGCCTGGGTCTTTAATGCCATTTATGAGCAGTGGCACCTGCCCTGGTCTACTGGAAAAAAGTAAACTCCTTTCTAGTGAAGCCACATGATTCAGCTTCTGTTTCTGCAGTTAAATTAAATCCTAACTGATATAGTGGGTTAAAAAAAGGGCAGGAAGAGTTGTTCATGAAGAGGGAACAGCATGTGCTAATCCTCACCACAATCCTGAAAGGTAGGTATTGTTCCCATTTTACAGATGAGGAAGATAAGGATCCAAGAGAAGACACTTGGCCCAAGATCACACAGCAATTTAGTGGCAAAGGCAGGATCCAAACCCAGTGTATTCATTATCTATTGCTGCGTAACAAGTTACCACAAATATAGCAGCTTAAAACATAAATATTTATTATCTCAGTTTCTATGGGTTAAGAATCCAAGCACAGCTTAACTGGGTCCTCTGCTTTGGGGGTCTCTGCTTCAAGACACTGCAATCAAGGTGTGGGCCAGGGTGGGAGTCTCATCTGAGCCTCAACTAGAGAAAGATCAACTTTCCAGTTCACATGGTTATTGGCAGAATTTCAGTTCCCTCAGGGCTAATGGACTGAATACCACAGTTTATAGCTGGCTGTTGGCCGAAAGTCACCCTCATTTCCTTGCCTTTCCAGCATGACAACTTACTTCATCAAAGGCAGCTGGAAGTCACAACCTTAAGTAACCTAATCACAGAAGTGACATTCCATCACCTTTGCCATATTCTGTTCATTAGAAGCAAATCAGTAAATCCTGCCCACACTCAAAG